CATGATTTAATCCTTGGTTATCAGGTGTTTACTTTTTTCTGTCTTTTTTACCTCCATAATGCTAGATAGCCTTGTCCTATGCTTGATAGCAATATAAGGCCCCGTCCACACGAAGTCAAAACGAACACGAAACGCTAATATTTTCCAGAACGTTTGTCGTAAAGACGGAGACGTAAAATAAATGTGATCGTCCACACGAATACATGAAAACGCTGCAAAATGTATGCCAGGCCTGTAAGTGGCGCTGTGGTGCCAAAGCAAAAATAGGCGACGAAATGTTGGGCATGCGCACTAATATTTATACATGGTTGCCCTGCGGGTCCATTTTCCTGGTTCAGTCAAATTCAGGTGCTGAACTATGTCGTCGATATTGCTCTGTTCTTCCTGGAGATATTCCAGAAGAAGAAGATTCTGTTGTAAGCCCGACAGCAGGGTGAGTAGCATGAGCAGCAACCATTCAACACAGTACGGCGCCATTGTTGTTGTGATACTGTGTCGCGCATGCGTGTTTAGAGGCGACGCTATGACGCATGCGTGTAAAAAAAAAAAAAAAAATGCGGTTAGAGCTTAAAGATGGAAACGGGAAAATGGCGTTTCAAAATCTTCCCACTCTGAAGGCTTAATAAAAAAAAGATCGTTTACAGACCCCCGAAACGCCGGCTTCGTATGGATGAGAGGCTGGTTTGGTGAAAAATTTGTGCGTTTAGGCCAGGGTTCGGCTTCGTGTGGACGGGGCCTAAGACAATAAGATGTGTCATTAACTATAACATAAACTCATTAGCTATAACATTACTAGTTAAAATCATTTGAAAATGCCAGCCTGACAGACTCATACTATGTATATTCAATAAACAGCTCCTCTGTCATTGCAGAATTACCCATAATGCAACAATGCTTTCTTATAACATAACAATCAAGATGGCTGCCACAACGGAAATATGATTTAATGACGGCCTTCATTATGTCCTGAAAGATATGGATATATCTTTAAAGCCTCAAACTGCCTGCTCTAAGGGGGTTTCTTCGGTACAAAGACATTTTTGCACCACATCTGTAGTTAATTGATTGGTTCTGACCTGTTTCTGCTGACCCTGTTAGTTCTGCTTTTGAAAACTTACCTGCTTTTTTTTTTTTTAGATTGATGCGGCATGTTTGCAGTGTAAGGTAATCTGGGTAGCAGGGCTAATCAGCAATGCTCAGGAACTTGTTCTTTTTTATTGTGGTTCAAGCCTCAGCAAATTTCTCACTGATTGTTTATTATTAATGTTTTTGTGTTTTGGTAGAACTTCACTATTTTATTTTAGAACTCTCAATTGTTAAATTCTAATTAAGTTTCATCGTTTATCCAAAAAACAAAACTTTAACTTGACGGTAATGTAAATGTGGTTTTGAAGTACCTTGAATAAAACTCCTGAGTGCTGGCAGGGTGATACTGATAGAGAGAAATGTTAGTGGATTTAGGCTGCAACAGTGAAAGGGGAAGTTTACAGGACCATATATATTCTACTATAATGTACGGTTTACAGACAGTAACAACAATAAAATACAGTAGGTTTAACTGTAAACGACAAAGCTGAAGACCTAGGCGACCAAAATGGTCAGAATTAGAGGTGAATATAATCAGCAGAGGAGCTGAGGTTGAACAGCCTGTAGTACTAGTGGGAAGCTCTAAAGGAAGCACATGGAAAAAGTTGTAATGCATTTTTGTGCATAGTTGTATTTTGAGTGACAATTACAACAAATAATAAAGTAAGACCTTATGCAGACGATACTCCGTTTTGCTCTATTCAAAGGGTAAATAGCATTGAACTACGTTTTGGCCAAACCAAGCCAAATTTTGTTTTCAATAAAACCTCAAAAAATATTTCAGATATTTGGTGTTTCTAACCTGGTTAAACCTAGCCTGACGTAGTCCGACTCAATTCTAGTCAGAATATGAGTCTGATACTGCTCCATAGAGCTGTGATTATGGGGCGTGTTTCGAATGAACCAGGAAAAAAAATGCCTCTGCACTCAATTGGATAGACCTACAACCAATAAGAGCATCGGAGTGCGTGACGTATGTTAAGCGAGGCATAGTTGTTGTCCACAAAAATCAAAGCGTGCAGTTGCACGCCTATAATAAGAAGATGAGACTTGATCGCGTTTCTCTGTTCCTCTTTTAAAATTAATTTGCTGTCGATATCTTCTAGAACAGACCTAATAGCAGAATCTACTCACCTCAACTCTCCAGCGGCAGCCATTATTGTTGTCACCCAAGCGCGCATTGGTCACGTGGTTGTTTACGTTACTGTTGATCATCTGTCCATCATCGTATAAAGCCCGCCCTGACAATTTGATTGGATCGCCTGACAGTGGGCGATAATACTCGCGCTACTATGGAGCAGAGCCAGACCGAACTTCCCGACCTCAAACTTTGTGGGCGGGACTAAGTTCGGAATGGCACCCAGGCTAGGTAATTAGCGGTGAGGATAGGAAATTTGGCCAAACCAAACCAAATTTTGTTTTCAACAAACCTCAAAAAATATTTCAGATATTTGGTGTTTCTAACCTGGTTAAACCCTTATTAATAGATAATTATTTTTAATCCCATTTGAAACACTTTAGATAATACTCTACTTTTAACTAGCTAACCCAGACCCATGTTAATTCTTCTGTCTGCACAGAAACATGGTGGGACCAAATATTTCAACGTAATTAATGATCTGCAAATTATTTATGTTTGCTGTTTCCTACATAAGAGATTTTTGTATTTTGTTTTCTGTTTTCTTTAATTAGTTTTAAAGAGCACGTCTGTTTGCTTTATTAGTTTCTTTGATTTGGTCACCACAACAAGCACATATTATACAAGGCTATACTGAGTAAACACATGTTTTTCAGTCCAATCTTAAACATCTGCTGTGATTTATGATCATTGACTTTGCATTTCTCTAAGTGCTCAGCTGCATTTGCTTTTTTATACCTTGGTTAGAGGATAATATTTAAAGGACATTAAAATGTGGCGATTTTGGATCTTGTAGCAGCATTATCTTGATTTTTACTATTAAGTATATCTGTTCAATTATTTTCTGCAACTGACTGCTAAGTATGAAATGTAACTACACCAACTCATTGCATTTAGACTTAGACCAGAGAAAACATCCAAAAAGAAATAACATTGTCCAGCCCCCGTCCAGAGGAAGCCTAGTTTGGGTGCATAGGACCAGTTTTTGTGCGGTTAGAGGTCCAATCACAAGGAAGCCAAAACCGACAACATTTCAAACCAGCTCTCATAGTGGAGAGCATTGAAGCCGCCTTGCAGCATTTTCCTCATGCTATATGCGTAACCAGCTACAAGCTAGCATCTCTGCACAAGAAAACCAATACAGCCCTCGCCGCACTCAAACAACATCTGCGAACTTCGATATTGTGGTTCGGTTTTTGAATCGATATACAGGCTATTAAATTTATTGCGAATTTTACACTTACTTCTTGCTGCTTCTAGGTAGCCGGTTCACTAAAACACATTTTTCCTCTCTTCTTCTTAACATCCTACCTTTTCCTTCCTTCTACATTTTTACCTTTATGACAGTGCTAGCACACCACCCACTGGTGGGGCATGGTATTACAATGTCTATTACAGCTTTAAGGGCTTCAGCCATCGTAACACTTAAAAGTTATCTGTGTGGATAGCTTATTTTGTGAGGATGTAGTCAGGACTATTGTCAAAAGTTACTGTAAACGACATTAAAGCACAATATACATTCTGTCAGCTATCAAAAATTTAGGTTGCTGCTGATTGTGTAAAGGTGCATTGACTTGCATAAGGCCTACTACACCAGATAGCCATAATTTAATGCCACAGCCTATCAGAGCATTGCTGCTGACTCTGTCTATCCCTTATTGACCACAGCTTACCCGTCTATTAAAGCCTACCTCTATTATCACAAAGCTTCAGTTGGGTTCACTATTTCCAGTAGATTCAAAGTTACGTGATATCTTTCCAGTCAAGCCATTTTGGGATGTGGTGGAATGAGAGATTAGCATCATGGATGAGCAGCTGATAAATCTTTAACCCCTGGTTGTTGTTATCACAGCAGTTGGGGAGAAAATCTCTTAGGAACATCTCCAGGTGCACGTTGAATCTTAGCCAACAAGAATTATTGTAGTTTTTAGGGATAATTGGGCGTATTCATGTACTTGGAAGTTGTACCTAACAAAGAATTTGATTGTATTGGGATGTTGTTGTTATCTTTAAACCTGTAACGGCAAACATTCATAGGCAGGTCTGCCTTGAAAGAGAGATAATTTCTTTAATCTTAAGCTACTTCCCAGTTAAATGAAGGTTAAGTAAATTCAATAAATATGTCACCTTTAACTCCACTGATTCAGCAGAATTGATGTCCTGAGGTTATCAGCAGTCATGTGACAGCCGGACGGCGGTTATCCTATCATCCACTGACGACCTCAGGTCAGCCGTGTGGGCTGCCAGATGTGAGGCCCCGAGCTTGTTTTTCTCTCAGTCTGCATCCGCTGGTCGTCCAGTTTTTCCACGTCTATTTCAACCTCCCCATCTCCTTCTCCAAAGCACACACAAAAATAAAGGCAGACACACACAGAAACTTTCCTTTTTTTTTCTCTTCAATCTTTACAACTTAAACCACGGGGAGTAGGAAGCAGCCTGAGTGGCCTGATCACAAATCCTTTAACATAAACAAAGTGAAAAGAGAAGAGGCCCTCTTCAAACAAACTCATCTTTCCACAACTCATTAGACCCCCCCACCTTAAGATCTACATAAGCAGCCTCCCTTCCTCCTCTCTCTGCTCGTCCTGCACCCTTTTTCCTCATCCTCCACACTTATTTTCCAATCATGAAAAGCTGGACGCAGAGCTGCACTTCCTCCAAACGTGGCAGAAATCGCCGATCATCTTTGATCTCTTTGTGTGTCTGCAATTAGATTTTATACATGCAATTAAGGCAACTCACCCTGTTCTTGTTTTCTGCTGTTTTTATCTCTTAGGTGTGTCTGAAGTGACGCCAGCAGGCTGGCTCAGGAAAAACGACTTCAATACAATGTAGACACCGAAAAGCCGTCAGCTGAAGAGTCTGAAGACCACGCTGACAGTAGGAGGGCGACCCCAAGGAGGACGACCGACAGCTGTGGACTGAAACAACACCAACAGAAGATAAGAAAAGTGAAATAACGGCAGGGGAGAGGAGGGAAGCAGCGGACTGTGAATCATTGACGTGAACCCTTTTGTCCTTCCCGTGAAGGGTTCAGCTTGTTCCCACGTCTCCTTGTGGAGAAGGATCATTACCTCGGCCGGTGGTATTTCAAAGAAAGGTAGCCCACACGCATTTTTCTCCTCTCAGCAGTGTTGATATCTAAGCAGAGCGGCCGTCAGCATGTGCCATGTCATTGTCACTTGCCGCTCCATGCTGTGGACCCTGCTGAGCATCGTGGCTGCTTTTGGCGAACTCATCGCCTTCATGAGCACTGATTGGCTAGTAGGGTATCCCCGCACACCTGACGCCGTCTTCGGCTCCCATGGGGCTACGGCAGCCGGCGAGGCCTACAGACCAACTCTAGGAATCTATGGCCGCTGCATAAAGCTACCGCAAATGCAGAGGGGGATACTGTGCGGACCGTACGCCTTCCGCTTTGGGGAGATTGCCAGCGGGTTCTGGCAGGCGACCTCCATCTTTCTGGCTGCTGGGATCTTGCTGCTGTGTGCTGTGGCGTTCATCTCCATCTTCACCATGTGCTTCCAAAGCATCATGAAGAAGAGCATCTTTAATGTGTGCGGACTGCTGCAAGGGATCGCAGGTGAGCTGAGCTTTTTACTGCTAAAAAAAAAGGGATCTAATCACTTTTATTTATCTGTTCGCTGCTTTCATATCTGTTCATATTTGCAAAATGTTAAAGTTGGCATATCCAGGGATTGAAAACTGCAGCAAGCATAAAGCAGGTTTCTTTTTATAAAAAAAAAAACCCAGAGAAGGAAATATTCCTGGCTTAAAGTCGTAGGGAAGCGGCTGTTCCAACCGTTGCAGTTATGATTTCTCCAGAGTGGTGCCCGACTTTACATGAGTGAATAAAGAGAATATGATTGGTCGATTATCAATGGGGCGGGATTGTTCTGGCGGAAGGTTCGCAAGTTTGATTGCATACGGTTTCTTCGAAGCATTTTGCTAACCATTTAGCAACTTAGTGCTAGTAGGTTCCCAGTGGGTAATTCCATTGGGACCAAGTAGCACTAAATTGGTGACTTAGAAGCGACACTGTCAAGGAACGCTATGGACAGAGGAAACATGCAAGAGGAGGAGAGTTAAGTATCAGAGGTCTTGGATGAGTCTCCTCCGTCATCCATTTTTTATTTAGAGGAGGAAAGCGAGGACGAAGATGTTGTGGAAGAGGACGCCAGGGCAGCAGAAGCTTGGTTTGTTGTAGAAGGCTTACAGCCGTACATGTTTGAGCCCTTGCCTCGCAACGCTGCCAGTTCTGTTAGCTCTACGCCTGCTGAAGACACAGACGTCCATCCCGTGAACACTGGGACGGAACTCAATGGGAAAGGAAATGATTCTGATTTCTTATTTTAACCGTTGTGTATATTAGCTGCGACATATGAATCAAGGTGCTATGACTGAAAGAATTTGATTGACCGATGACCGTTGATATATGATTGGCTGAATTAAGGTGTACAGGCTGATGTATAACTAACTGGCCTGCATAAAATAACGGAAAAAAAGACAGATTTTAAGACAGATTTTTGAGACATTTTTCAAAATTTTGCGACAATATTGTCTGATAAAGAGTATATTTATATACATGTTTAAGCCAGAATGATTTGACATTTAAATATGAATTCTCTATGACTTTAAACAACATCTCTACGTTTCTATGATGGCTGTTTCTGACATAAATCGAACATAAATCAACAATAATTACATTAAATTCAAATTATTCATCTAGTACCAATTATAAACATTTCACATCTCAAGGCTTTTTTTAAAAAGAGATAATTCAATCAGATCATTCTCATCAGTAAAAAAAAGAAGTTTTATCTAAGGGAAATCAGCTGATTGCATCGAGTCAATAACTATGCAAGATTTGTTTCTCCTGGATGAACATGTGGCGACAGCAGACATTTGCTTACATTATGCAATCCCTCACATCAAGCATGCATACAGCAAGAGTGGAGAGGAAACCTTTAGAAGAGGCAGACTTAGGTTGGTCTGCCTTCTGCTGAGGCGGACTGGGGGTTCAAAGAGGCAGAAGCAGACACACAAAAAGGAACATTGAAGCACTGATTCATAAAAACGTTCTATTTTAAAGAAGGTAGCGGTAAACTAGCTCCTCAGGTGGCTCTGTCTGGGAACCAAACAGTTAATCAGATGAGCTCAGAGTTGGTGTTCATGGCAACAGGATGAAAGAGATAAGACATGGTTTGTCAGAACAAAAGCTAAGCACGTGGCATTGCCTAGGAGAGAGGTGGGACTAAACACTGAAAAACAGGTCTAACTCTGTCATCTATAATTGAAGATGTCAATGGCAGCAGCCCACGATTGTGTCACAGGCTAGATGAAGACCAGCAGAGGGAACATAAAGTTGGAGGACTAACTTTAAATACTCCAGAATTGGAGAATAGAGATAAAATGAAGCAGAATGATGAATAGTCGTCCCTATTTCCAGTATTAAGTTGGTGAATTTTGTGCCACACGCTGTTGTTTCCAACAACCTTTCCCCTGGCCTGGCTATCTGCGGTAGTTCTTGATTTTCATAATAGCATTGTTAACTGATATTCTCTAAACAACCACTAAGTCCTGTTTGCAGAAAAGGGGCTAAATAAAAGAATACGCTGTATTTTGCACATAAGATAATTTATACTTTTTTTTTTAAATAATGCATTCTTCTGTTCCACCCCTACATCAAAGTTTAAGGTTGTAGCGCTGTATGACAAAATGTGAAAAACTTAAATGGTATGAAGACTTCTTCAAAGCAATATGCAGGATCAATGCTTTTTTTTTTGTTTTCTATCTCTGTTTGGTTTGACTTGCACCCCTTTGTGCTCGGATATAAACAGAGTTCCCTCAGTTCATCTGAGCTGTATTGTTTCTGCTCATTCCTGTGGCCTCCAGCGTTCATCAAGGTAAATGAGAAGCTCCGCTCCAAAATAAACGCTTCATTACTGGCACCATGACTCCCACTGCTGGAATTATGTGTTTTATTCCACTGGAGCCTTTTGTCCCCAGCAGAAAGATGAAAGAAGACGAGGCAGCGGCTCTGTCGCCACCTGAAGCAACTGCCGCCCAAATATTTACCCAGTCAGCTGGAGCCCTTCCAGACATACGCATGCGTATCTGCCTTTATGTGTGAGCGGTGTACGTCTTGTGTCTGAGGGCAGATCTTGGGCCGCTTTGACGCAACGGGGTGAATTATGGAGGGGAGGAGGCCTTGAGGTCATGCTTAAGGAGCATTCTCTCTCTTCACAGACTGTCGCTCCCAACCCCCCTGGTGATTATGGCCGTCCTCCCCCGCTGTTGTTTATCTGGTGAAGGGCCAAACAGAAAAGCTGGGCGGGTGATGAAGGACATGCTAAAGTGCTGTAAACCAAACCCTCAGAAGCCACTGAAACCCATTCAAATGGTCCAGGACAAATAGTTGTTTAAAAGTGAGCTTAAAATAGCTTCATGTTGGAGAAGTTTGGACCTAAAGTGTTATTTTAATTTGTGCTCATTAAACTTATTCACAACTTATGTATGTAAAGTGTTGCTTCAAAGTCTTAAGTTAAATTAGGACTGGACTTTGACTAGACCCTACTACCAGATGAGCTTGGAATTAAGCAACTTATACGTACAAGTTAAAAGAAATATATGGAACCTTACCTGAGTATCTTATTGCTAGTATTCTGTTTCTCCACAAGGCATTTTTTGCATGCTATAAATTAGACTTCTTATCTTTGTTTTTTTTTTCCTAAAAATGCCAGACATGTCTTCCAATTGTACCAGAATAAATTGTTAGTCATGCATTTATTTAAAAATGTTTTTCATGTGACAATTCTGCATACCTTTGTGTTGGTCTAGGACATGAAATCCCTGTCAAATACACTGGAGTTTGTGGCGGTAATGTAAAGAAGGCTGGAAAAATTCAAGAGGTGTTCTAATTATTATGTTTTGCAAAAAGTTACACATAAAAAAGTGACATTTAAACCAAACAGTAATCATGCCTTTGGATGTTTCATTTCAGTGCTGAATGCTAACATTTAATAAATGGATAAATGTGGAAGAACAACTGGGTGGAAAGGCAGGAAACTTTTATATCTGTAAACTTTTATACACTGAAATAATTCATCCGTATTTGGCATTTACTTAATGATATTTAGTTACTTTAACACAATTGTTTCATGTTATCAGGCTAGGACATAAAACAATTGTGTTAAAGTAACTAAATATTAAGTAAATGCCAAAAGCGTTTGCATTATTTTTTTCAGTGTAGATTTTCTCTGATCAAACGCAGGCTAAGATACATTCATGAGTCCCAATGAGAATTGCTCTCCAATCACATGCTTTGTGCTGCAACAAAATCATTTTATAATAACCTAGGCTGGATATTTGGCTTTTCTTCTTGATTGAATTGTTAGAGCTCGTTAAATGTGGTTTTTTGGCCCTGACTTTTAAGCATTGCTGACACGTTTGATAGAGTTACAGTAGGTGTTTTTTGGAAAGGCGAGTCAAGGAGCCTGATTTGTATCTCTTTTTTTGTATCTCTGCTTCTGTCTCCTTGAACCCCAGTCGGCCTCAGCAGATGGTTCTGCTGGAGGTTTCTTCCTGGTAAAAGGGAGTTTTTCCTCTCCACTGTCGCTACAAGCATGCTTAGTGTGAGGGATTGTATTCGAGTTAATGAGTCGATGCAATCAACTGGTTTTCCTTAGATAGAAAACTTTGAACCAATCTGACTGGATGATCTGGTGAACTGTAAAGTACCTTGAGATGACATGTTGTGAATTTGCGCTATAGAAATAAACTGAATTGAATTGAATCGATTTGTCAATTTGGTTGTACTTTGGATCTTTGTCCTGTTGAAGAGCCTAATTATTTACTTGTATGACCCAAAGCCTCCCCTTTAGATAAAAGAAAACTATTTAGATTATTGAAGTAATCAACTAATTTAGTAATCGATTAATTGTTAACTGGAGTTTAGAGACTCTAAAACGTGTCTTTAGGTGACAGAGCAACCCATTTAGAGCAGTGATTATACCAAAATTGTAAAAAAAATGTATGAACATTTTACATTTTGCCGGTCAATATACTCTATCCAGAACTCCTCAAGTGGAAAAGTTTATATATATATTTATATATATAAAATTTGGAACAGATAAATCAATGCATAGATTAGGGTTAATGAGTTGCACCAGAACTTATTTTGTGTCCTCCAAATGGTCATTAAATGTTTTAAATTTCTCTGTCCTTGGTGTTAACTTTTAACTTTGTTTACTTTACTGCTTCTCACCAAGTTTTTAATTACAAATTGATTGAAGACTAAAGTGCTCCTCACTGGTTGATCCGGTTTATATCACTGGCCATCGTGACTAGGAATTAAATGAACTAAAGTACCGCTGCTACATTAGATGTTTGCAGGTGATTTTTCAGGTGAAGGACATTTCTGCTGGTGCACAAGTGAAAACAGGTTAGATAACACCAGACCCACAGCTGTTAGAGCGTGTTGCATCACCGAGAAACCCTCTCTCTGCAGATTTGTTAAAAAAAGAGAGATAATTGTTGAGTCCTATTGTTGAGAGGATGAGGATGTGGAAGTGGAAGCGAGCC